CAGGTCGGCCAGGTCGCGTGTAGGCCGCGCCAGGTCGCGTGCCGGCCGCGCCAGGTCACGCGTAGGCCGCTCCAGGCCGGCCAAACCGGTGCCCGGGTGGAACACCAATTTGGTAAGTTGTTGCCTGAGTGTTTGCCTAATTGTCACGATGTACCACGTGTCGCAATTTCAGTGGAGGGCCAAATCTGCCCTCATCAACCACCATTAACATTTCTCTCTTCTTCTCCATCCAGTTTCTTCTGTCCCTTTTGTTCTCTCGTTGCTCTTCCGTGGGATCTTGGCCTAGGGCTCTGCTGTGGCCATATGGCTGCTGTTCTTGTAGAGCCTTTCTGCTGTCCTCGTCTTTGGAATCATCCTTTGGGCCTTGCATTAAAACATCATACGCTGTGAAGGAGTTTTTATTCAAAGAATCAACCTTTATTTCCGTTTTATCAAGCAAATATTTGATGATCTGCAGAGTTTAATTAAACATCACGTTCTAGTAGTAAAAAAAAATTAGAAAAGCTAGATGCATGACACAAGTATGGAACAAAATTTTACTGTTACATTACGAGCTATTGGTCCCAAACCCCAAGTTGCACCAATAAAACCTAAAGCCTAGTTTACGTCCCTGACCGCACTACACGGTGATCATGGGTTACATTTGATTTCAGGAAACACTGGGCGTTGGGAGAAATAAGATTTTAGCGTTTCTCCAAATGTATAGTTTATTTGAGAAATGGTTACTTCATATACAATAAACCCTAACGCTTGTGTGATGCTAATGTGATGACATTTTTTTAATAAAAACCATTGGAACCAAACACACAAAGGCTGCACAAAATCATTAAGTGGGTAGAAATTGAAGCCGCTTTTCCTATTCACTCTCTACCCGCCGTGAATTACAACCACACATCTCTATTTTGAATTGAGAGATGTAGCTGCAGTTCACGGCAAGTAGAAACTGGGAAAAAATTCCCGTCTGAATCATTGAATAATGTTTTCATTGGTTGTGATGAATTATCCCTTTTTTTAAATTATTAAAAGGACTCCATTTTCGATAACAGGCACATTCTTGGTAAAAGAAATACGTGTCTATTTGTTTTATGCACTTAGAATTGAATTTTAGAATTTCAAAGTGACTGCAGCACTTCGATCAAAATGTTGTTTTTAGAAGAGTTAATCGAGATTCGAGACTGCAACAAGGCTGCACATATTGATGCAAAGCATGGCCTAACAGACACTGGTGTTTTCTTCACAAATTTTCCTGATTGGTTGTTGAGAGTTGGGGATGAAGATGAAAGGCTGTTAGAGGAAGGTGGTGTTATTCTAAGTTTTGGATCAGTTCAGTTTCGTTCTGTTGTTTGTTTCTCTTTTCAGTATTGATGGCTGTCCCTGTTTCTTGTCCTGTGTTCTGAGAAATGAAGCATCTTTCAACCAAAAAGAAAATAAATGGAACGAATTAGAACACGATCGGATCGAGAAACCAAAATGTTATGCTTCGGATGAACTGCAACGTTGAATTGCAATTTACATAAAAATATGAAATTTCTTAAATAGAGTATTACCGGCATTTTGTCAAATGGTTCAGGAGCAGATTTCTCTTTTTGACTTGTGATATCAATCAAGAGGAACTTCACTATGAGAAAGAAATCAAAGACCAATCACTAGGCAACATGGATAGGTGTAGAATAGCCGGCACTTGCATAGAACAAGAACCAGGGCGAGAGAGAGAGAGAGAGAGAGAGAGAGAGAGATTCTGATCTTACCTATGAAGGGGTGAGAGATCCATCATATGGACGCCCAAAGATTGCGGAA